ACAGTTTCTCTGATATGCCGCTCCTCGTCGCTCTCTACACAAACCTCACCGCTGTCTACCTCAAGCAGCATATGACGGACAAGCTGCCCCAGACTCTGGAGAAGGCCTGCGCCCTGCTCCTCTGTCTCCCCTGCCACACCTTCACCTCCACGGACGAGGTCGAGCTGCTGCAGCTGCTCCTGAGGAGATCGGTGGTGATGGGGGACAAACACCTGGAGGCTCGCGTCTGCTACCTCGTCTCCAGCCTCTTCCTGCTTGGCAGGAAGCCCGATGACGCCCTCCCCTTTGTTGAACGACTCCAGTTCCTCTCGGTGACGCTCTCTGCCTCCGAGGGGCGTCCCATAGTTCCTTTGGACCTCAACTGGCTGTTGAGCTGGCTCTATCATCGTAAATACATGCCTTACTTAGCGCTGGCCTCTCTGAGCCTGGACTCAAGACAGGACCACTCCCTCCACGACTCTTTCCAGAGGATTGAGTTGTTTATCAGGAACTCTGTTCGCCTGAACACGTGCTGGAAGGAAGGAACCTCCCTGCTCCCTGCCCAGATTGTGATTTACCTTCAGCAGGCCCTGATTACAGCAGAGCAAGGGGAGGACATGAAGACCCAGAGGGACCTGTGTCAGGGCTTGGCCACTGTCTACCTGCAGCACAATGCTCTAGATAAGGCGGTGCTCTGTGCTCAACAAGCTGTGGAGACAGGAGGCCACATCAGTGAGGAGGAGGGCTTTGAGGCCTCTGTGCTGCTCGGGTGGCTGCTGGTGTTGACGGGCCAGGCTGAGAGGGCCCAGAGTGTCCTGCAGCCTCTGCTCACATCACTCCAGGTACAGCAAACAACACCATTCACCCGGATAAATGTTGTAGAAAAGATTGGTTTGAAATGTTTACCTCCTCCTCTGTATGAATATCATGTGTAATCTCTCCAGGGCACAGATAGTCCCACGCAGCGAGGGGTGATCCACAACCTCTTGGCTCTCTGTCTGAGGCGGCAGGGTCGTATCCCAGAGGCAGGCTGGCATCTCCACTCCGCCTTGGTGATCTCAAGGGAAAGTGGAAACCAGAGGAACCAGGCCCTGGCACTGGCCAACCTGGGCTGCCTGGCACTGGATGTGGGGGCGCCTTTGGTGGCAGAACGCTTCTTGGTCAGGTCAGACATCAGTGTTGTTGTTTCCCCCCCAGGGAACTCAACAAATGTAGAAAGAGTTTACTAAGAGTTATTTATCGTGCTGCTGTTTGCGTTCCCAGATCCCTGCATCTTTTTCTGGAGCTCTGGGAAAGCCCTGTCGACGAGGAGCATGTTCAGACCTACCTTTGGCTGGGGCGGAGCTACAAAGACAGGAGGAAGAGTCAGGACAGCAGGGCCTGTTATGAAATGGGGCTACTAATTGCACTACATGCCAGAAACTTACACAGTGAGTACAGGTTAACATATTAAAGGAATAGTTGGCCCTATTTTCTTGCCAAAAGTTGCGCTTTTTATTGTGAAAGGTAAGAACGGAATTAGTGAATCTGGTATACGTTTCCTTTGTTTAGGTTTAAAGGTGTAATCGAAGTTTGCCACCTTGGTTCAGTCTGAGGAGCCTCCATGTTGTTGTACACTTTAGTGTACATTTGGAGATGTACGTTCCACACAACTTGATTGGTTGATGCCTTTACATGCGGTGCGAAAGAGACATGTTACTGTTGAAAACTAAACTTTTCAGTGCCCCTGGTGGACACATTGTGTAACTGTTTCAAGACATAGAAATGTATCTGTGATTACCTAAAGTTTGCTCATAATATCAGCTGTGCCAATTGTACAGTAAAGGTCAAACTATATATAGTTCTTATTCAGTGTCACGTACGTATCACAGTGTATTTAGTGTCAGCAGCAACAGCTAACATACTTGCTGTATTTAAAGGTCGGATGGTGGTGGCCAAGGTGCTGAGTCGTGTGTATGCTGACATGCTGCTGTACGGCCAGAGTATCGTCTACTACGAGCACTGTGTGTCGGTATGCAGAGAGCTGAAGGACAAGAGACTGGAGGGAGAGTATCTGGAAATCCTCAGCAGCCTCTACCTCTCGCTCAACACCGAAAGGTGAGTTTCTGCCTCTCCTTCCCACTCGCTCTTATTCTCTATCCATCTCTTCCACAACGTCTTTGGTTTCAGACCAAAACAGTCTCAATTCTGGATTGCAGATCATCTCGTAAATCTCTGGACTACACCAAGCAGAGCCTGAGGATTTCTATTGATTTGGGCAAGAGAGAGGAAGAGTCGGAGACCTGGCTGCAGGTGGGACGCATCTATTACCTCATCCACGAGGACGAACTAGCTGACATGTACCTGCAGGTGAACATTTTTCAGTCACTGCTTTTTTCTTTTGCTCTTGTATGTAAACGCAACACGTCCCTGACAATCATAGTTTAGTTTGACACGCTAATGTTCAATCAATATTGATCGACAATATGATTTGATAAATAGGCAGCAGTGAAGACAGCCCTGAGGATGAATGATCATCACTTCGCCATGAGCATCTACGAGGAGGCAGGAGACGTCTACTTTAAAGGCTGCAGGAACCGAATGGCTTCATTGCCTTTCTACAGGGTAAGAGGATGCAAAACAAAGCTGCAATGTCATGGTGCAGTATTTCCCATGATACACTCTGACACATTTTTTTTAATTTTAAATCAGTAAAACCGCTGATCTCATTTTCTGAAAATTCTCCGTGTTTGTTTGGCAGGATGGCAGTCTGCCATTTGCACGGAGCATCCAGGACATCCATTCAGAGTTCCGTTTGTTGAGTAAACTGACAGAGCTGTTAATGAACCAGGGAGAGCAGGAGGAGGCTCTGCAGTACGCAACACTGGCTGTTCAGATCGCCGGCAAAGCAGGTAGACAGAGGCCAAGCGTGGCCAAGAATATGTGCCTCATGATCACTTTTAAAGTAGAACTACTTTGTTAACACGGACCATTGTTGTTTTTCCTCAGGTGTGCATGTGAATGAGAGGACAGCCTACCACCGGCTGGCTACAGTCTACTACAACCTGCAGCAGTACGAGTTGGCAGAAAACTACTACCTCAAGTCACTGTCCCTCTGTCCGCCCGCCCTGCAGGACCCCATGGAGGCTCGCTACTACACCAAGGTGTACTGCAGACTGGGCAATCTCACTCTACACAAACTGAAGGTACACGAGCCGACTATATTTCTGTGTTTACATCAGCAAACAGAATATATACATTATGTTTCTGAAATAAATCTAATTGATATATATTATATGAATTATTATAAATAAACATAATTCGGAGTAATTTTGAGCTTCGTAAGATATATTTGTGAAATGTTTTACGTACTTGTGTTAACTTCTTTATGTTTATACTCATTTTACATCCTTATTTTCAGCCCAATGGTGATGTTTTTCCTGACCATAAGTGGTTTTATTGCCTAAACCTAACTGCGGCCGATTTACTGTAACGACTTGGTGTAAAATGACATGCGAACATATACATATAGACTTTTTGTAACGATTTGAGGAAATTGTGAAATTACCTGTCAAAAACTGATGTCATTCCTGAAAGTTAGGCAATTATTTTATCACAATAATAACACGCTGACACAATATTTTAGAGAGCTCCCACAAGTGAAAGTGTAGCCAGCCAGTGTCTTAATAGAAGAGGCTTCAGATTTTTTTACCTTTATCTGGCATCCTTTTCACAGAATATGTCGCCAATCAAAATCCAGCCAACAAATAAGATCAAAAGATGATATATATTTAATTAAAAGGAGACCTCTGCTCTGTCCACTCTCCCCAGGATTCTTTTGACGCAGTGGGCTACTTCCATTTGGCTCTGGCAGCGGCCCTGGTGGACCAAGCTAACCCCGAGGCTCTGTATGTGGTGTACATGAAGCTGGCCGAGATCCACGGCAACCACATGCCCGATGCTCAGCTGTGCCGAGAGTACAGAGACAGAGCCCAGAGTCTGAAGAGAGTTCTGGGTGGAGAGGAAGGCGCTGCTGTTGGGGAGGAGAACATGAAGGATGCAGGCACGGAGCCGGGCCAAAAGAAGGACGAGGACTCTGGTGCTGATATGGAGCGTACGGAAAGTTTGCTGAAGACAAACTGCATTTTCACTTCACCTGAAAATGAAAAATATGAAGATAACTTGCTTCCAAGAGCTGGTATAATTCACAGAGACACGGAGGATGAATGTACAGACACTAATATTGGAGATAATCACAATAATCTTGATGCATATGGCCCTCTTGTGGATGCCTTTGGGTCTGAGACAGAAACCATCGCCAGTCAGTCTTACAGTGACAGTATTTTAACCGAGTCCTTTGATACAGCCAAGGAGCAGATCTCAGACTCCAGCAGCTCCACTGACACTTTACAAACTCACCACAATCAAACAGATGGGAAAGACTTTGACACTGACTACCACACGCCCAGTCAGTTACCTGATAATCACAAAAGTGACATCACAAGACACACAGATTCTGATATTCAGGATGAACAAAACACCCCCTGAAGAAACGGATGTGCATGCAGATCCAATTACAAAGATGTCAGTCTTGAGGACAATCGGTCTGTTACTGACCGCACAGAGACTGTTGGCATAGACACTGATGAAGCTGTAAGTGTGGACGACTACACAGAGAAATGAGATAAATGTGAAACCAGTGACACACACGGTGAACAGGCGGGCTTCGATGACGTCTACACACAGTCTCTGAGTGGCACGTTATGTTCTTCACTGACATTTCCTTCGTCTGGTCACATGTTTCTTGAACAGCACATTGGCTCCAACGTTCCAGCCACATGGCACTTATTGTAGGAAAGATGACGTCAATAAATTAAGTTTTCAGAGGATTAGTGACTCTAAAGCATGTGCCTTTTTGTACAATATATTCTGTGGTTATTGCTATAGTTCACAGTGCCTGTTGTATATGTTTTCTAAATGTACGTTTTTGTATCTCTGGTAGATATAACCCAAACATAAAGAATGTTATTTTGATGGCCGAGTATTTATTTGTGCTTTTGTCTTTTTAAATATGGGAGAAACACATGGCCTCGAGGTGCAAAGTACAACTGGGACAAATCAGAGCATAATCAATCAGAAAAAACAACGTTAGGGAAAACACAAACGGGATTTCAGGGAAAACAATTGTGTTTACAGCAAAAAAAACATTATTATATTTTTCTTACTGTGAAGCAATATAATGAAAAGACCAAAACCAACTATGTTTTAGTCTCAATACTTTCCACCTTGCCTAAGCTGTCTGTGGCTCTCAGCTTTTTAAATCTTTGAAAAGATGTCACTAGTCACGAGTATTTTTTTTTCTTTTAGAAAAGGGTCAGTAATTTCCCAAAACAGCTGGGCATTGTAGTTGTTTAGCAGTGCTCCTTAAGAATAAAAAAAGTATGAAAGGAAACAGGTTTCTTAATTGATGCTTGACAACACACTCACAACTTCACTGTGGTAACCTGTGTTTTTAGATTAAAGTCACCTAGTGTCTCCCATTTTAAACAAAAGGGGGTGGCATTGTTGTTAAGGTTTATGGTCAAAGACTAGCTCGTGGCTACAGAGTCCCTGTCTCTACTATTATTTTGGTTCATATTGTGCATATTCCTAATTAAAGTTGTATCACAAACTAACTGAGACGCACAAAAAACAACTTGGGACCAGGTGCATTATCTATTTGTTAGTGTTATTTCAAATAAGAGCTGTCCTGTGGAGTGTGATCTGCACACTGTATATGATTATTATTTTGGTGATAATAAACAGAGGGTTGGAGGTCAATAGGGGCCCAACAATACATTGTTGACAGACTAATACAACCATTTACAGTATCCTTCTCAGGGTAAATATCGTTCACATTTCTGTTAGGCTGCAACAATTATTTTCAATTTCAATTTTCTTGATTAGCTGTTCAGTCACAAAATAGTGAAAAATGTAAACCACAATTTCCAAGAGCTCAAAGGGTCATCAAATGTATTTTGTCCAACAGTGTGCAACAAAGATATTCAAATTACAAAAAGCTGTACTGTAAATGGAGAAAAGAATTGTTGCTGATTAATTATTTTAGGTCTACATTTTTCTGTACATTTCTCTATCAATGTAATCGTCAAAATTCTGAAATGTCAAAATGATGAGATTAAGTTATTCATGAAAAACAATTATGATCATCAAAATCTAATGTCAACAATTATCATTTTAATTATTACTAAATAAATGTCACGAAACATCACAAAATTGAGAAATGAAACATCAAACATTTTTATGGAAACAATATCTCACTCAAGGAAAAATAAACCATCTTATGATAATATCATCACAACTGCCCTCATGTTTGGCGAGGTCATGCACAATAAGAAAAGTAGAAAAAAAGACAGACAGCGATATGTGTTGAGAACTTTGACCACACTGTAATGCACAGCAATTTACATACAGTACATTCATATCTAAACAACCATATCTCTGTTATAATTGTGATGTTGCAGTGTGTTTTCACGAGTCACGACAGAAGGAGATGATATTTAGTTGTACTCAGATATTCATATGTGACTGATTAGAATACTGTTTAATACTGTGGCAGAGCAAAATGCTTCCCCTGATCTCCACCTTCTCTGATGGTTTACGGTTTCTTAGGTTTGGCTTTGGGGACCACTTTAACAGTGGTGGACACTGATTTGGCTCCTTGCAGGTTCTGGGCGGTGCAGGTGTATGCTCCCTGGTCCACGTCCCTCACCTCGTCCACCAGGAGGACAGACTGAGACTGCTGTCGAGCCGCTCCTCCACCGATGGGACTGATGCTCTCCTGTGTGTACAGAGGCCTCCCAATCTGCAACCAGAACAAGTGGGCCTTTTAGTCTGGATAAAAACACATACTGTACAGCATGGGAGAAATGTGACCCCCTTCATAATATGCCAGTAAGTCTGCAGCTTAAATGTTATTAAATCATTAATAGATGCTCTGCAGTCCAAAGGTTGGATGCCTCTTAATTAATTACAAACTAGCTAAAAAGACAAGGTAAGCTATATGACACAGGATGTACATCAATAACAGATCCTTCAGCTACTTTGTCTTACAACCAACCTGAAATGATTGGAAAGTATTGAAGCAAAAAGCTGTATTATCCCTCTCTTGTCTGACCTGCTGTCCTGGGTATTCCCAGGTGATCTCCACGACCACGTCCTGTTCGCCCACCACGGAGCAGCTGACACGCAGATTCTCCCCCACAGCCATCGAGCTTGATGAGGCCTGGATTACTGGAGCAGGAGGAGCCATGGGGTCTGATGGAAATGGGATAACCAAACAATAATTTGCGTTAGTCAGCACAATGAAACTGTGTCCGTAGGCAGCAGTTTTCTTTGGAAGAGTTTTCATGTTCTTCCTGTTTTGTCCTGTAATCTTAAGAAAAGTATCCGGAGTACTGCAATGTCCTCTTTGTGAAGTAGAACTACTTTATGTACAAATGCGTAAACAAATAAGAATGACTGTAACAAGAGTGTCAATACACATAGTTACTTCTTGTTCTGCAGTCAATAAGTATCGCTGAAGAAAATTTGCTGCTGAAATTGTGCAGTTGAAATGTTGAAACGGCAAAGTTATAGCTGAAGATGTCAAAAGACAAATACTGAAAGGAGTTGAATTAGCAGTTAAAATGGAAGTGCTGAATGCAGTCGAAAAGTCAATTTAAATGTAAGCGCTGAGTGACGTTCAACTATCAGTTGAAATGAAAACGCAGAAAAGAGTTGACTCTGTTCAAGCACTGAAAGGAGTTGAAGTAGCAGTTTGAAGTGAAGGACCTGAGAGACATTAGTGCGAGTTCAACAGTTTAAACTGAACAATGATTTTAGTGGAAATGTTGTCTGAAGTGTAACAATTTAAAGCAATTGTGTAAGAACAGAAATTGTCAGAAGTTGATGAAAAAAAATATTTTTTGGTTGTTCAAATTGTGAACTGTAAGTGGTTGAAGTGTCGCCGTGTAAAACTTGAAAGCAGTTGAAATTTCAGTTTTGTTTGTTTCTGACCAACAGTCAAGAACAAAAAGTACAAATATAAAACTTTTTTCAGCACTGCTGGTTTGTCTACTTGTACAGTATGTACAGTATCTGTGTTCCTGTCTGATGCATGCTGGGAAAGGCTTTATCATTGATCAGCAAGAGGCGATAAATGAATTCACCATAAAGGGAATAGACGACTTAGCGGCAGCACTCACAGTTAACATAGATGAGCATGTACTTGGTGGAGCTCTGCCTCAGGTTGCCCAGACTGGCGACACAGAACAGGGCTCCAGCATGATGAGGCCGGGGTCGATGAATGGTGAAGCCCCTCTTGACGTTAAACGAGATCTCCTTCCCGTCCACCGCCACCTCCACTGGTGGAAACTCGCGATGCAGAGTCACTTTAGCCTCAGGTGACGTCACCTGGCAGGGGAGGAGCGTCGGCCAGTTGGTTCTCAGCTGAATCGCCTTGTAGTAGTCAGATGACGGAACGAATAATTCTTGTGGATCTGATTGTTAGAGTGAGAAGATATGGCGTGAATGTAAAAAATCTTCCTATTTAACCTGGCAGGGAAATTAAGCGGAGGCCTGCAGTTCTGAGAAGTGCACATGCAGGCATCAACAAAGTGTATTCACTGTACCGGGAAAGAATACAAAGACTTTGGCGGCTTTGTCATACTCCTTCCTGCAGTCTGTGTCTTCACAGTACATTGGATAACAGGTGTACTCCCCTGTGTCTACACCAGTAGTGTTGACTAATGTCAGAACGCCATATCGCTTGTGTTGGACAATCCTGCAGAGCCAAAACAGGGAAGTCAGAAAACATCATTGACATCATTCTGGCATTAGAAGACTAAATGGTACATCATGCACAAAATGAATCGACTGCTCAGCTTACCTGAGCCTTCCATCATCATCCTCCTCCAGGTACTTTGGGACGCTCCACTGCACAGGTTTGCCCCTGCACCTCAGCTCCAAGGTGTCTCCTGTCTGCACACTTAAAGTTTCTCCCACCTTCTTAAACTTCCCTCTGTTTAGCACCTATATGTGTGAGATATGATATCACGCATGAATGAATGTCCCATGAACAAATCAAAAGTCATCGTGTCATATATATGAAATACCTGTGTGAGGACATTCTGTGCCGGGGCTGCAGGTGTGGCTTTCAGCTTGGGTTTGGCTGTTACAACTCTGGGCACTTTATTTGTTGATTTCCCAAGTTTGGGTTTGCTGGGCTTGGACTTCCTTCCTGGAGTGGTCCTCTGTTCTTGGGTGTCTTTCTGACAATAAGCTACATCATATGCAGAGCACATGGTGCACCAATAGTTTATAAACATAGATACAGGTAAATGTTTAATGATATGAATTGATTATAGTTAATATCTTGGTAAAAAGAATAATGTGGTAATGGCATCATGGCGGATCAATATTATTATTTTTTTCTCACAGGCCAACTTCTAGACTACGTCATGCCCTCCTTAGCGATTCGAGGAACACATGTTCACAGAATTTTCTCAGCAAGTGAATAAAGTCACTTACCTAACTCGAAGATTACGGCACAAATAAGGAGAGCGCTCAGCACCCACCTCCCCTTTGATCCAAACAAGTTCACCAAAGGCATGATTGATCAGTGGAATACTATCAAAGTGGTCTGTGGTCTTGTTACTCAGTGTAGTTCAACACAGTGACGTGCTGCAGAAACCAGAGAGAAGAGGAGGGCAGAGCTCGCAAAGTGAGCTGTCAGTTGTTTACCAGACTCACGGAAAGTCCTCCTCCTGAGAGTGCCATTAGTACCCCAAATTCCTCCTGACTGGCTCAATGGAGGCTTTCAAGCCTGTCCTGACCAATGACGGTCCAGAGACGGAGGCCCCTCCGTGTGAAATCACATAGCCTGTTTGCTTAGCTGCTGGACTGGAAGTGTGCTAGCTGCATGAGTCCGGCCCATCAACACAGCCCAGACAGGGAGTACTGTGGCAGGCAAGGTTATTAAAAGCATTTGGTGCCCAATAAACCCTTTGTCCAACATTTACTGATTGGCTTTAAACGATTAAAACAAATCACTTATCACTTAACAAATACATTAGACGAGTATAAAATCATCATCGTCATCATGCAAAATCATTCATGAAAACTAATGATCAACTTAACTTGGTCTATTTTACCAATATTTTAAACACAATAACCTGCTGTAGAGATTGTAAAGTGCTCTGAGAAGAGACTACAGTACAGTACAGTATATAAATACACTTTACAATATATCTATACTACCAACTATCCTTGGTGAAAATGACATGTTTCTAAAGAGGAAAAGAAATCAAGGTTTTACATATTTGATTAAATCCATAGCATGCTGTACCCAGTGAGAACAATGTAAACCTTTCCTTTTGAGGGACTAGCTAAGCCACAATCTTGAACATGACACAGGTAAGCTGCTGTGAAAGGTCCCTTTGTTCTCAGTGAACTCTGGGTAGTGAGACGCCTCTGGCTCTTTATCCAAGATTACGAGTGGAACTGAACATCAACATGCCCTCCAGAAAATTACCTTCAGTTTGTAGTCCTCTTGAAAATTTCTCTCTTTTTAATTAAGGAATACATTTACAATATATAATTAGAAAACATGTACAGTTTGCATATTTACACTTTGAAACAACAATTAATAAAATAGATCTTCAAACACACTATGAGCAAAAGACATTCCACACGATTTTCTGTATCTACATCGTACTTTTGTCTACTTCTACATTTTGATACGTAAAAAACTATTCTTTTGTTATTCATAATCGTAATTAGAATTGTAAAAAAATTACAATACATTTCTATATTTTACAATTGATATGGAAAATGTAAACTTGTTAACAAAATAGTAATCATCAACAGAAAATAGTTCTAGCCCTTTTTTCTTTTTAAACAGAGGTGTAAACTACATTGATAGTAGATTTAAAGGCTCCAGGACACTCTGACATTGATGCAGAAAACATATACATGTCCAAAAATACGTCTGGCATCAGTTCAATGTTGGCACAGATAATATTTAGATAAATTCAGACTCCATCATACAGTGGAACAAAAGTTAACAAGTTGGCCCATCTGTCCATTTGCCTGCATCTCATCACCGACCACCTGTTGCACTCCGTAGTTACGAACTTAAAGCAGTTACTGACTGTAACATCTCAATCTATTTCTCTCTAGCTGAGCTCAGAATTTTTCTTCCTTAAAGATGTGATTGTCTGCTTTGCCACTGACGGTTTCGATCCTCATCTGGTTGGTCCTGAGGCGCTGCGTCTGAACACTGTGACGAACACCGTAGCCAAAATAGATGACTAACCCTGGCGAGAGAAGAGGGGGATCGTTACAGTTCAGCAGCTAACTCAATAAAAGATCTAATCCTTTCAAGCAGAAATATGTTCTTACCCACTAACATCCAAATAGCATATCGCATCCATGTTTCTCCACCTAACTGGACCATCAGGTAGACGTTGATGAATGTACTCACTAACGGCAGAGCAGGGAGAAATGGCACCTGTGAACAGAGAATACAAGATGTGAAAGGATGTTCTACTTGATGTCTGTTAGAACTTGCTCAGAATGCTCAGGTGCACAACTCCTCTCACCATGAAAGATGCCTTGGCAGTGTTTTGTGGGTGCCTCCATATGAGGAAAGTGTTTAGCAACACAATGAAGGCGAGGACGCAGACAACCACCACACTCCATGCTTCCAAACGGGACAGAGCATCTAAGGCTTGCGTCAGGACGACACACAGTGCAACCAAACATGCAACTGCAGAAAAAGAAAAGATGAAAAAGAGACATCAGTTCGTGGACCAGAGAGACAAAAGAATTTTCCAAAGCAAAGAAATTGGTGGTCAAGAAAAGGTACTTAAAAAAAAAAAAAAGCCACAGGCGCTTCAGTAATGTTTGCCTTGCTTACCAGAGATTAGAGTCAAGATTGTGACTCTTCTTGAGGTGGATGCATTGGGAGTTGAGGGAGGCTTCAGGAGGCCAAACTTGGTGTTTGATTCTTTAATCTGTAGGTCTGTGTCTTCAGATGGACCGACTTGGTACCTTGATTGGGAAAAAAAATACATTTGTATCATAGATATTTTTTCTCAGTAGCTAAAGCACTGTGGAAGAAGAAACGGATGGAATAAATATACCTCAGTATTAAGATGCATATGGCCACGAGTGTGTAAGCAAACAAAGTGCCGATGGACATCATTTCCACCAAGGCTTCCAGGTCAAACAGCAGAGCCATGATGGCTAAAGATGACAAAGAGGCATACAGTGTTACTTAAGTCCGTAAACCTCACCACATGTACATAGAAGCTGATGAACAGCTGGAACATCTGTACCTGCCACAGTTCCAGACGATATGGTAGCTATGGCAGGACTGCCCTTGGGGGTAACTTTGGTCAGGGGTTGGAAAAGCAGGCCGTCTCTTGCCATGGCGAATAGTACCCGGGGCATTGGGAACATCGAACCCAGCAGGCTGGAGAGCCAAACACAAACAGTGTCGGTCAACAAACATTTATATACTTTTAGTAACAGGCCAGCATGGCTTTACTCCAATTTAGTAAAAAAAAAAAGAAAAAATAGGTTATTCATTATAACATCTCATATGCTGTATTCATACTCCAAAATGTATTTGCTGGCAAGTGTTTGTCATGATATGTTGATTTAGGCCCTTTTCTGATGAATTAAAGTCATACTAATAGACATTGCATTTAAAGAAAAGCTTGTTGGACCTAGATGCTGAACTGAGCTTTGTGATGATTCCTTTGCATTGTTTCTAGATGTCATTTGAAGCCCTTCCTCTTTCACAGATGGCAGTTCTATAGAAAATATGTCAGCTGAGGTTGTTCCCCAGGAAGAGCTGGAAAGTGTTGTGGAGAAGGACGTCTGGAATACCCTCCTAAGCCTGTTGCCCCTGTGACCCATCCCCGGATAAGCGTAATATGATGGATGGCTGGAGGATTTTCTGATTAATGTTGCTGTAGAGCACACTTTTATTTCAATACAGGGCATTAAAGCAGAGTGCTACGGCTCTGTGAGGTTGTACTTAGCAGTGCGTTGAGCATGCTCACAATGGCAATCCTAACATGCTGATGATAACCATGCTCACTGTCTTGGTTTAGTGTTAAAAGTTCTTCAGAATCGTTGTATACGTACAGAGAAGTACATGAAATTTGACCCCTGCATTTATCCCATCCTACGCATTTAGGACAAGTGGTTTGCTGTAAAGCGCCTGGGCAGAAACCTGGACACTGGGAGCCGGGAAACAAATCGCCAAACTCCACGGTTAAAGGAAAGTTACTACAATTCATCCTGAGAGGAAAATGAATGTCTGTATCACATTTCATGGCAATCTATCCAAGGAAAAGTCAGGGGATCACCAAAGTCACTGTGATTCTCTGGGGAACATTATTGTAAGTTTTATGGCAATCTATGCAATAGTTGTTGCGATTTTTCAGTCTGGAACAAAGTAGTGGAATGACCTTGCTGCAGGCGTGGCGAAGAAAAGTGAAACGTTTTAAGCCCAAACATTGTTTTCTCCAACGACAGTCACATCACATGACCCCGCCTGTACTACCAGTGGTTTCCTACCTGGTGGATAGAGCACACAGCGATCCCACAGCCACAACGTATTTGGCAGGACCCCAGCCGATGTAGTCAAAAGCCACTGGCAGGGGGCTTTTTTCACTGAGCAGGTAATAGGGCATCATGAGGGTGAGAGCAGCAGACACAGCAAAGTAGGCCACGAAACAGATGAGTAGCGAGGCCACAATGCCCAGAGGGATGGACTTCTGGGGGTTCTTCACTTCTTCACCTACAAAGAAAAGCAAAGAAGTCGGTGAGATTTTCAGCCTTGTTTGGGTAACATGACATTAAAAAGGTAATATCCCATAAATATGACAAAATGATAATTGTAATAATTCAAAACCTCAAGGGACTATCATTTACAAGGCAGTTTGATGAACACAATTCTAGGGTGCACTCGTGACCTTCATCAGAGGGAGTTGGCTCAGTTGTAACAGAGTCACTTCAGTTGTTATCAAGCAACTGGAATTGCTGATAACAACTGAACCATCTCCGAGATGGGTTAGCAAACTCCTTCCACTGATAAAGGCCACAAGACACAGATAAAAAAAAGCTCTGGAATGTTTTCAGTACCACTTTTCTTTTGTCAAATCTTATCAGGAGCCATACCATATAAAACCCTTCAATGTTTCAGCAACAACACACCAAACATACTGACATCTGTTGCTACACTTCAAAGTCTGGCACACATTTCTGCTTTGTCATCGTGCATGCAGTATTATGTGAGTTTGTGCTTGTTTATTTAGCAAAAGAATCTCATCTACTGGTAAAAAAAATGAACAACATATAATCACACTGATAAAAGGAGACGTTGTCATCTCACCTGTTGTAGCGATGCAGTCAAATCCAACAAAAGCATAGAAACATGTTGCAGCGCCGGCCACCGTTCCACTAATGCCATAGGGGAAAAATCCACCCGCTCCATACAAACTTGTCAGATTGGCAGTAGAGCTCAAATTTCTGCAGTGGACAGGGAACATTATTTAGTGTTTATTTAAAGTGAGGGAGCAATACTATGGTATTTATGTAAGAAATGATCCCGCACACACACAAACACAGAAATGCTTCCATTGCTCTTTGACATTACTTGAATTCTGCCGTGGCGTTTATAAGAGCCTCCTCACTGATTTGCCAGTTGGAGATGTCCCCTTTGATAAACCCAGCGATGGCCACAAACACCAGCACCAGGATGTTGATCACTGTGAAGATCTTGTTGATTGTTGTTGATTCTTTCACTCCAAATGCCAGCACACCTTCATCGGAAACATGGTGAGTGTTATTTTCTTTATAGCCTATATATTACTGCTGCCACCATAACAACACCGGTTTCATAATTGTACCTGACAGTAGCATGACGAGAACGGCAGCAAAGACATCTGGGTAAGGTGCAAGGCCAGTAAGGCTCATGGCCGCATTTGCTTCAAAGTATTTCGATATGGCCCCCCCTATTAGGTCATCAAATGTCCCACTCCATGCCAGCGCGACACTAGATGTCCCTGAGAAAAGGATGCAATAAATGAATCACCAGAGTCACCATTCAATAACTGAAGTCATAAACAGTAAAATACTCATGGTGATAGCTCCTTCGTCTTTCACACTTTATGGCTCTGTTATTTCAAACCACAAGGGTTAATGACATGCAAGCAATGACTTTAACTAGTTTTTGTGAAAAACACTCTTAACAGGAAAACTTTCGCTGTTAAAAGAGCCATTAAGAATCTGCTTGTAGAACAAGTGAAAGGTCAAAGTGTTCACGTGTCTCATGTTGATGGTTGATCATTGATAGGTTTCAGTGTTCTCAGTGAGTCAAACATGTTACATGAGAGGAAAATGTGTTTTTCAGAGGATGAAAATCTAAAAAATTGAGCCAGAAATAAATATTACGACAGAGATTATATTGAAAATATATTTTTTTTCCGATACATTTTTAGCTGGAGGCAACTTTTTAAAGGGGACAAAACCTACCTCGCTGAATAACAGACATGATAATCTATTGTAATTGACACATTGAATGAAACAAATCCTGGGTAGCACACTTGCCTATGACGTAGGAGAGTAACAGATTCCACCCAGTGATAAAAGCCAGCAGCTCTCCGACAGTCACATAGCTGTAAAGGTATGCTGAGCCTGTTTTGGGAACCCGCGCTCCAAACTCTGCATAGCACAGCCCGGCGAATATGGAGGCCAGGGCGGCGATGAAGAAGGAGACGATGATGCTGGGTCCAGCAGTGTCTCTGGCCACCTCTCCAGAGAGGACGTAGACCCCGGCCCCCAGGGTGCTGCCCACACCGAGGGCCACCAGGTCCAGGGTGGTCAGGCATCGGTTAAACGTGGACTGCTCCCCCTCTGGCTCCAGGGGCTTCCTTTGAGACACGCTCACCAGAAGGGACTTCATCCAGCCGCACGACATGCTTCTATGCGTTTGGATCAGGGATGGGAAAGGAAGAGACAGGTGGGAGTGTTATGGAGAAAGAGGGAGTCAATGGAAGAGAGTGAGGGGAGAGGAGAGGAGTGGGGAAGAAAGGGCAGAACAGTGAACCTGTCAGTGAATGATTGTCATGTCAGATCCACTGTAGAACATTTACTCTTGACATGAAACATGTAACAGTGGCAAAAGGAGATAGTTAAAAGGCATCAAGGAAGATCAATAAACCATGGAGACTTGGACAAATTCCATTTTGTTAAACCTTAATCATGATTAGATGATGACTTGTTCAACAATTGCTCTACTAATATTTCACTGGATTTACATTAAGGACAGAAGAAGACTGAATTCACTCACCTCTCCTGTATAATCCTTTGCCTCACAGGGACACTTAGAAGAGACAATTAATAGGATCCATCATGCCCGTAAATCACATTATTCTTTTATACATGCCCTACTTTATCACCCCCCCTGATATGATAGTGCTGATGCCTGGAGTTTCCATCGCCGCCCACATCTCAAAAGTAACGCCCTGCTTTGTGAACTGCACTTTACTCAACCTTCAATTACTTACACAATTACTTCCTTGAACGTTCCTGATAATGCAGAAGATCCATTTATAATTTGTTTTCCCTGTGTGGCAATAAAAATTAATTATTTTTTAATTCGCAAAGTGTGTATCCACATCACGGGAGCAGTAGCATGTCAGAGATGCACTGATGCAGTGTTTACATTACCTGTGTCGACATGCTTGTTTTTTTTTAAGAAAAGGCATTTTTAATTTTCTTTTCCTGTTTTAAATGACTACACCTCCTGCACAGTTTGTAATTTGTAACGTTAGTTTTTGTTGTTTATTTAACTTCTAAGCCAGAAGTAATTTGGATTTTTATCCCACATTTTCAATATCTGACACGGCAGGGAGAAAAGAAATGAAGAGAAGGAAATTAACAAAACCTTTAAGGAAATTACACTTGTTTTCTTTAATGCATATTTTAAAAAATGTGACTATTGGTGTGTGTGTAACCCATGCTTGTGTTGTAAACCAGAGGGGGGGGGGGGGGCTTTGATGGTCTTTTCATGATTATGCCTTCAAGATAATCCAAGACTTTACACTGTACACATTCGTCTATGACTTTGGATTTTGTCCTTCACAAACCCAATAAAACAGAAAGGTCTGAATGTGGCAGCAGTAGAAACTGAGAAACACTGACAACATCCTCAGTGTCTGGCACCCATCAATAAAACGTGGTCATTTATAAGAAACAACAAGGATACACTTTATCTTTATAGCCCCTTTCCAAACTGTGTTTACAAGGTGCTTGTACTTTAGAGATATGCAGATGTGTTGCTGTTCAGTACGTCATATCAAAAAAAAAACTACACTATGTTCTCAAAGTTTACATGCATGTGTACATACAACAAGTCTGTGACCTTATCACTGCGGCTACGTTGGAGTTTTTCCTGCCGTATCCCCATATCTACCTGGAGGTGTGAGCCTGCCAGACCAATGGTTAGAGTAAAGGAAACAGAGGGGGACAAAGCAGCTTTCATGGCTTATGCACACAGCGGGCTGCACACTTGCTCTGTGAAAGGTAGCTTTCGCCATCTCATCTCCCATCATGGGATTTCAGCTCACCTAATCTCTCCTGGCATCTAACGCAGCAGACAGGAGGCGAGTGGGAAAGCAGAGGTGTGGACAGTCAAAGTACCTTTGACCAAACTTGAAGCTCAGGCTTCCTATCTGCAGATCTTGGATGAGATACCGTTTCCAAAAGGGGACAATGGGGTAATACTTAACTGAACCACAGCTACTACGCACGTGATGTGCAGCTTTATGATCAGAAGGTTGATCTGCATGACAGTGAAGCTCAGTTAATGATCATTAATCATCATGTCTACTGTGCAGTTACAGAAGTGTTACAGAGAAATATTGCAGTCCAGCATTCAGACAGAAGTTAAAGCAGAGGTTAGGGTTTAAATCTGACCGGCTTCTGGTCATTTCATTCAGTAGATACACAAGTTGTTTACCTTGTCTTCAGTCCCACAAGGAGTGACTGGTGACTGTGTGGTCAAAACAGCAAAATGAAGCAAAGATATCCGCGCTGTTGACTTGGACGAAGGAAACATGATTTTGACTGTGATATATACAAGAGTGCCCTGTGAGACCCTCCCACTCAATGGAATTACTTACAAAGTAGCCTTTCTCACTCCCGACCAGTTCCGTTCATAATGTGCTCATTATTGCATGGGAGGCACAGGGTGAGAATTGTGAACAGCAAATCCCATTCAGAATGTCAAAAATGTTTTTGTGCTCACTTCATTTGTTGTTTTGTTTTCACGTTTTTTTTTCATTTCATTTGTTTTAAATCCATGAATTTGTGGTGTTAGGAAAATAGCTTTTTTTCAGATATGTCTCTGTTATTGTTAAAAATTGAAGTCACTGGTTAGTTTAGGGACACAAATATATGGTTTTAAATATATATTACACACATTTATTTTGTGCCCTCGGGGATGTTACTGAGCCCAATTGTTGATTGTCTGTAGATCCCATTTGGGCTGGAATTTTGCAGTTTTTCCCAACACCGCCTGAGATACGATGAGGTTCTCATGCAATGCATTTTAAAAGCAGAAGAGGTCAGTATATAACAATTACATTTCATCACTGGTGCCTCCCACCTCCATCTGTGTTGACCTCATATGGCCCCCTCTCACTCTGAACAGTGGCAGAAAGAAAATCGAAATGTAAATAAAATCCAGTTGGAAATCATTTCTGATACCATGGTGCCTCTTACCGCGCCACTTTTTTTTTTTTCCTTATCTAGTCCACAATGCTGACATGCCTCTCTCGCTCTCTCCCCCCCCTAACTATGCTGGCAACTGTCTCCCCCTCTGACTGGAATAGACGCCTGACAGGACAGAAATAGAGCAGGCAAGCTCTCACATCATGTATGTATGTATCAGGTGTATCATTGATTTTAACAAGAGGGAAACAGACATCGACATAACACCTGCAGCTCCCTTCTGTTAAAATCACATCTGAACTCTTGGTCATGTGACAAAGTTAAAGAAATTCCGGAGTGATAAGGGTCTTTATCCAAACTCAACATGAAGGTGTGCGTGCACACTGACGCTTTGCGTGGCCCATTTAAATTGCTTTTCAATGTTTTTAAAGATGTAGGCAACTTAACAATTGCGCGGCCTCCATGCGTTTATGCTTCAGTTAGGACTGGGTGATACCGGTCACATGCATGTCTTCACCGTGGGACATTGCATTGCTAAAACCAGGCTCGCACACACACGCGCACGCGCACGCACACACGCTTCAAGCTGCGCGACGGAGCGCCGCAGTCGTTGCGTCAAGGAGGACACGTAACGGGACTGCTTAGCCTGGCCGGAGGAGACAGACAGACCGGGGACACAGCAAAGACAGCAGAAACACTCTCACTGGATCTTTCACACACAAGGTAAAATATGTTTACTATTATTACCTAAACCTTTTCAGTTCGAAGCAAAACTGCTCCTGGAGAAGTTTACTGATGCTTCATTTTTCAACGTGCTAATGAACTGCAGTAGGCAAGATAATTCTGGGAATTATTGCACATAAAAGTGATATCATGTACAACTATAACGTCTTAAAATGTCAGAGAGAGTTAGAAAAAAAGCATTAGAAAAAAAACATATATCCTTTAGTTAATGTAAAGCCCCCGAAGTTTATTCTATGTGGGGCACAAAGAAGGGTGTGGTTCTACATGGCCCACTCCCCCCAGACCTTCATTCTGACATTAAACTGTGCCTGCATGCTATTTTGGGATAGCTTCACATCCAGTCGTAAACAAAAAGCACAACATTTCAAACCACGAAGGCGTTTCCTCTTTAATTCTCTTTAGAAAAGCTGAACAAATATAAGTCTGTATTTACCCTGTCCTCAATTTGATCTGTAGAAAGGTTTCGTAATTTTGCACCGTGATTCTAAATTGAGAAATGTAGTCACTAGAGTTAGCAGAAATACTTTCTCTATATAGCAGCTGCCTCCATATGCTTTACTGAATGGCTGCATTATCTGTTAGAGTATATGGAAAATGTGATGAAATAGTTTTCCTGCCAGTTGGCTGAATGCAAATTCCATCGGCCTGCATGTCATTACATTCTTGAGCTGTAGATGGTTTTAACCAGCACACTGAACAGAGAGCCCTCATTAGAATTAGCCAGGAAAAAGCAGGGATCGTCATCATCATGAATATTGATGTCTTTGCAACATGATTTCCCGCACATCCGAGGGAAATGATACCCTCATTAAGACAAGGATGTTTTTGCAATGCTGTTCCCATCCCTACATCAGCATTTCTTTCTCTCTCTCTCTCTCTCTCTCTCTCTCTCTCTCTCTCTCTCTCTCTAGGACTGAAACTATTGATTCCAGTGCAGTGTTGACACAGCAGACCAAATATAGAAATGGTAAGTAGACAGGACCTTTCTCCTCTGGCATTATGTAAGTATGATTCAGATTGTATCTGAGCACACTTTGTATCTGTGGAGCATGGATGGTTTTGTGTGCCACTGAATGGACAGAGTGAGGTCATCTTTCTGTCACCTGCCACCATGTGATTCTTCCCCATCATAAAGGCAGCCGGGTAGGGTGTCATTGTAACCTGCGGTGCTCCTGACAGCATCTGTACAATAGCTTTGTCGTCCAGCTTTCTCGTCAGTGTCCCGTCCTTCTGATCTTACTTGAGGTGAAACACACGCTTGCTCTTAATTATGCTCTGCACAGTTGTGGCCTTGGCAACAGAGGAAACAAGCGAGTGAGAAAGGAAGGAAGGGGTAGAAATGTACCTCCGAAAATTAAATCCACATTAGGACTTTTCCACATAAGAACCATAAATGAGATTAGTTGAAGGCCTGTTGTTGAGGGCTTGTGTTTGTGGCCCGGTTGCTATGTGGGTGAAGCTGTCCAGCTGTCGTGAAGAGTGATGGTCGCCGCGGTGAAGCAGACGATCTGAGCATGTGCAGTGGCACCTCACCAGGGTGGAGAGCATATTTTGGCCGACTGCCTCGATGCAGCAGTAATCTCCATACGGCAGCAGCTGCAAGTTTGAGCTTTCAATATGCAGGCCAAGCTTTCTGATTTGCCCCAGTGAATGAGCATCTAGCCTCACAGCTTCACAGGGCCCAAACGATTGAGCAATCAGCATTTTGAGCCGTTGTATGACAGGCCCCTGCAAAAGGAGCTACTTTGTGTGCAACCTGACTCCCTGCTTCTCCTACAAACCCACTGTCCCACTCCTACGTGCACCGGCGACACACACACACACACAGA